AGGCTGCACGCCTGAAAGTATATGTAAATGTGGATCTGTATTTCTATGTGTGTAAGTCTATGTGCGTCTAGATGTGTGTGTATACACTTGTATGTGTGTGTATTTCGGACGAAAATAAAGCCATCAACTTCATTTGAAAGCAAATAAGAAAGGCAGGAAGAAGCGAATTTTGACACTGTCGCAGCTAAATGAAATGAACAGTATCCAAAGGAGAAACAGATGGACCGATTACCGAAGTAACCCCAGCCTTTCTGTCGGTCGCTAAGACCCAGGCGAAAAGAAATTTATGCGTGAGTATGTGAGCCTGTGTGAGGAGGCTGCGTGTAGGAGCCAAACTGTACCAACTCCTGAAAAGGCGCCTGGAAGTGACAACACTGAGACCGACTTGAGAGCCGGGTTCCCGAAGCCTGAGGAAGAGGAGGGTGCAAGCAGAACCTGCCTCCGCGCTGCTTCGCTCAGGGACGCCGGGCTCCTCTGTCTGCCTGGCTGGCTCCATCCCTCACTGTAGCTCTTGAACCCCAAGAGGCGAGGGAGGCGGACCACAGTGTGACTATGGGGGGAGGGGGTAAAGCTCTATGGAAGACTCAGGAGGTATTGGGAGGAGGAGAGACGAAAAGAGAGGAAAGGAGGGAGGAAAGATAGAGGACAGGAGAAGAGGCTTGTTAGGAAGCTCTGAAAAGCATTTAGCATTTTCCTTATTACTGGGATTTTTAAAAATGTTATTAGATGTATGAAGCATTAAGAGCCCCATTACCAGAAGTGCTTAGCAAAATGTGTATGTGTGTAAACAGTGTTCTGCGTACACTGGAAGTCTATGAATATACATGCATACCTTCCAAATGATACAAAATTAAGGTCCAACGTACCGTGGATTGGATTTAACCAAAATGAAATCTCTTTTCAAAATGCTGTTTTCTCAACAGTAATTCTGGGTTACGGTTCACACTGGCAGAGCAGTTTGCTCAGGCAATTTTCTGTTTAATTCACCTAATTCTTCTCTTCCCCCTTCTCCCCGTGGGGGAATGTTGAATATTTTAGGAAGGAACCTCTGTATACCAAAGCTGGTACATGTGGGTGAGAGTTCACATCCCCGCGGATAAGTAGCTCTCCCACAGCACTGCTCCCTGCCCTCCCCCTACCCCTGCCAACTTAATGAGGGGGGTATAAGCGCGCTGCTTCGGATCCCCCCACCCGCTCACATACACATACACATACACCCCAGCCCTACTCTGCGCTCCTTTCCCCCGCGCTCAGTGCCAATGCCTGCCTGCGCCCCCGCCGCTGCCGACCCGAGTGACCGAAGCCTGAGACGTAGCGCGCCCGCCTTCACCCTTAGGAGAGACTCCCCAGACGGCTAGACAGCGCCGGGCTCCCGGGCTCCGTGCGCTCCCCCTCTGGGCCCTGGGCCCGCCAGGGGCTGCTTTTACAAGCTGCCACGCTTTCTCCCTTCCTACCTACCCCCTTCTCGGCTTGTCTTCTCTCTCTCCACCTCCACCCCACCCTCCCCTAGTTCGCTTCCTCTTCCTCCTTCTTTCCCACCTGCCCTCGGCAGAGATGCTCCGCATAGTTACTGCCCTTCAGCCACGACAGGCGCGGCCCCGGCTTCCCTGCCTCCAGCCTGCCTGCCTGCCTAGCTCCCCTCGGCTCCCGCCGCCGCCGTCTCCCTCCTTCCTTCCCTTCTCGCCCATGAGTCTCTGAGCAGAGAGCCGACAGCGCCCACTATAGCAACCGCGGCTTCTCGCAGCCTTCCCGGCCTCGGCTTAACTTCCAAAGCCAGCCCTGGAACTTTTCTCAACTTGGGCTCCGAGGCCGCAGCCACCGGCCGCTACCTTCCACAGCGGAGTGACTGTCTACCCTGCCGTTCTGCCCTTCTCTCTTGCACCCCAAATCCCAGAAACAAACGTAGTCCTTACAAGTCTTCGTTTCCCCCTCGGCCTCCCCCACCGCCTGCCACCCCCTCCCCGCCCCCACCCCCTCCCCACGTTTCCCCTCCTCCTCTCAGACCCTGGTCTAGCTGGTTGGCCGAAGGCATCTCTCCTCCGCCTGAGGGGAGGGGGGAGGTAAAGCGCTCTCTCCCTCTCGCTCTCGCTCGCTCTCTCTCGCTCTCTCTCTCGCTCTCTCTCTCGCTCTCTCTCTCTCTCGCTCTCTCTCTCTCTCTCGCTCTCTCTCCTCTCTCTCCCCTTCCCTCCCTTCCTCCTGTCCTCTCCCCCTCCCCTCCTCTGCCTTGTCACGGTTCTTCTCCCTTTCTCCTCCACCCCCCACTCCCCTCCTCCACCCCCCCATCCCCAAGCTGATGCAGCTGCCCTACTCCAAAGGATGAGGGCCGGCTGCGTTTGCTCCTTTGCCCACCCCACTCATCAGAGAGACGCGGGGCAGAATAAGAGGCTAGGGCAGGTTGCTGCAGCTGCAGCTGGGGGTTCGGTCCCCCCCCCACCCAGTCCCCAGTGTCTGGGGGCAGCTCCAGATACCCGGCACACTCGACATATGCAAGATGGCAGAGGAGGGTGAAAAGCCAATAGAAAAGCGATATTGCACCTACTTGTGGCCAGTTTCCTTGCCCTGCCTTTGGATCTCATGTTGTGCCCAGTCCTGCAGCCGCTGGTGTGGTTGGGGGGTGCTTTTTTTCTTGGATCTTTTCCTCCTTTTTCAGTCTCTCTCCCTCTCCCTCCCTCTCTCTCTCTCTCTCTCTCTCTCTCTCTCTCTCTCTCTCTCATACACACACACACACACAGAGACTCTCACTCGATGTCTTTCTCTTTCACTCTCTCTCTCTCTCCCTCTCCTTCTCTCTCTCTCTCTCCTTCTCTCCCTTTCTCTCAATCCACACTCGCTATCTCTCCAGCATTGTCAGTTTGGACAGACACCTTCGCACATGCGCGCTAGACGCCCCTCCAACATCTCAGCGCCGCCAAAAAAAGTTTGGAGCGATTTATCACTTTGATTTGGAGATCTTGTCAGATGGCAATCGGGGAGGAGGCGGAGAAAGGGGGACGCGGGGCGGGCGACAGGGGAGGGGGGGCGGGGGAGAGCCAGCGGGGGAGAGGGGAGCAGATACCTCGCACAAGGGGGGGGTGAGGGAAGAGGGGGGAGTGGAGAGCCCTGGCTACAGAGTTCAAGCTGGAAACCCCAAGAAGCTTCTGGGTTCCTCTTATTTTTGTTATTACCATCCTTGTCCCTCCATAGCCTACGGAAAATGTTTCACACCGACCCGGGGGGAAGAGAGCGGGACAAGGGAAGCTTTTTTTGTTTTTTTCTTTCCCGAGCTTCCGAGCTAGGAGAGGGGATGGATACTCCAAGAGGGACCGGAGAGAAGCAGCGAATGCGTCCCCACACCAAGAAATCAGCCGACTGCTGCTGCTGCGCCTGCTCTTGCTGCTGCGACCGCCGCTGCTTCTCCCTCTCCCAGTGGGGCGCAGAATCAATGACTCCTTCCTTCTGGATTTTTAATCTAATATTAATGACGCTGTCATCTGGGCCGCGTTTCCATAGTTCATCTCAACACACACACCCACAACCTGTCCCCCCTGGTCGCGATGCTTGGTGGCCTGGATCTGCGTCTTCCTCGCTGGGAATAGTCTAGCTGCCCCAGCGCTTGACAGGACGTACAGCTCATGGCTGGCCAGAGAGGTCCGGTTTCACCTTTCCCACCTCTCCCTTAACGCCCCCCTCCCCCGCAGCTTCCTCACTCCGGTCCCTCCACTGGAGATCAGCCTGGCCTGCCTTCCTTTTTCACACACACTCAGATGCACAGAAAACAGACACGCATGCATATGTGCGCCCCTAACTCCCTCCTGCTCCATTCCTCCATCTACTCCCACCCCCAAAAAAATCCATGGTGGAGATCTGCTTTAATTACGGGATTTGCCAATCAAAGCGGACACACTGAAGTTGGGAAGTCCTGAAGGGGCTGGCCCTGTTAGAGGTATGAATCAATCCTAGCTACATATAGATTTTTTTCTCCTGGTACAACCTCCTTGAATTAAACAGTTTTGTTCAATACCTTCCATGTGCTATTTATGTCTCCATTAATATCTGTTGCAAATCCTGCCAGACACTATAAAAGAAAATTACAATCTTCTCAGTCCCTGTGGTGCGCCAATACATCCATAGCGTTCACGTTTACAAAAATTAATCAAATCCTAACCATCACTTTTTTGGGCGAGGGAGGGCAGATCCGGAGAAGGAGAGCGATGGGGGAGGCTGGCTTTAGCCAATCATACCTGTTGCTACTTATTGTCAGAGATTAGGCCAGGCTGGAGTGTGGGTAGAGAGAAACCTTCTCACTCCTAAGGATCCTAACGGTTCATGTCCCTGTATTTTCAGAAACTTGGAAGCATACTGCCCATTCTCTTTGCCTGGTGTCATGTCAAAGACGTTCACCCTTTTCTCCAACTCCAAGTGCCCCTGAGACCCGTCAGGTGCAGTTCCCAGGGGATACAAATTGAAAAGGAATAATGGAAAGAAAAGGAATCAGAGAGGAGGAAAAGAAACTCACAGAAGAAACCTTACCCCCAAAAGGAAGGCTGCCCTAACAATCCACTCGGAGTCAGAGAAACATTGTCCTGTCCCAGACTGCCAGGGTCACATCAAACTTGCCAAATCCTGAATTCCTAGCTCCTCTCCTGCTATGAATGACACGTGCAGAATACTGGTGGGTAAATGGGTAGATATTCCCACAGGTATTGTACCTTTCCACGGAGCCTATGTATGAATGTACATAGTTTATCCTACGTGTGGCACTCCAAAAATGGGATCAGACAAGCTGTTTTTAGCGCTAGAATGTCTTCTTCAGACTCAGAAAAGGTCCTCAAAGGAAAAGAAATAAAGGGAAGAGTGGAGTTGGGAGATATCCTGGAATGTCTAAATAAAACCTTCGGGGACTGAAAAGCGGTAGCCACCGCACTGGATGGCCCCCAAGTGGAATTCCGGAGAAGTTGATCGCTGATCGATTTCATTGTGCCTTCTTTGTGCCCTCTCTCTTCTGCAGATCTCGGTTCTGCTCCTGAGTCCAACGGGTTGGGAAGGCTAAAGAGGACTGGATAAAACCCCTTACTTTATAACAGCTAATTGCTGCCTGAAACAAGGTGAACAAGAATCAGAGAATCGGTCACCAATATATGTGCCCCAGGGCCGCGGGGCTCCCTCAGCATAGAAAAAATCTTACCTGAATTCAAGAAAGCAAAAGCACCCAGTGCTTTGGCTCCCAAGCGGGTGGGCACTTTTTAGGAAAGAGTTATTCTCCCATATCGTTATCTTCCCTCTCCTCTCCTTAATGGTGCTTACAATTGGGGGTTCCCTTTCAAAAAGGGATGGAGAGTGGAGAGTCAAATAAGCAACTGAAAAGGGGTTTACCTCCTCAGGGCAAATTGATTCAAAACATCTGAATGAATGGAAATCGGGGAGTTAGGTTGAGGTCATTGTTTCTAGTAAATAAATAAAACACAAGGTTGGGGTTCAGAATGGAGAAGCGAGGTGGGAAGAAAAAAGCCAGGTGAGAAGAGGGCAGAGTGAAAGGAATCAAACTTCCACCCCCAAACTTTGGAGAGAGAGAGAGAGACAGGAAGGTTCTCACTTCTCACTCACTTGGCTATTTTCTCTAGGGGTCACTGGTCTCCCTGCCTTCTTGATTCACAGTTTCAAGTCACAAAAAATTGCAGCCTTCTTGCGAACTTAGAACCAAGTAGGTCTGACCAGTGAATACAGACGTCTTAGAACTTAAACGCATAAGCAAAATAAACTTTGCTATGTCCCCAGCTAGGCATGGGGGAAAGAGGAGGTAATTCATTTCCCTATGAAATCCCAAGTACGAACAAAAACTCCAAGTCTGAATGCCTTTGAGTTTGAAATAGCTTCTTTCTTTTTGTTTTTCTTGCTTTTCTCTTTCTTTTTCCTTCTCTCTTTTTTCTTTTTTCTTCCTCCTTTCCATTCCCCCCCAAAAAAAAACTCCTTTGCATTTAGTTTGCATTTATACTGCATTTACTTGTCTGTGCATATATTGTATTCACCTAGTAGAATGTTAGTTTCTTTAAGGGAGGGTTTACCTTACTTTTGTCTTTGTGACTTCAGAGCCTAGCAGAAAGTCTGGTATATAATAACGTATGATAATCGCTTAGTAAGTGCTTATTGATTGATTGTTGATTATCTGTCTTTTCTTGCTTTTTAAAAAATTTGCACCCTGTCCTGAATACCTGCCTATGCGTGTCAATAGCCGGGTTAAAATGTTCTGTGACAGTTTTACAAGATGAAATAAATGCCCAGAGCCTGAAAGCAATACCGCCTCCCACGCAGTTAGAACTTTTGGCCCAACAGTCCAGAGAACTGGGCCCTAGTTCTCTTCCCAGTTACTGGGGGGCCCCTTGTCAATTTCACCTGTCTGTAGTCCCAGCAGTGGGAGCTGGAGCAGGTGTTCCTGTCTTCCTGGGAACTCCAGCCACCCGCTTCTCTGGTGATTCCCTACCCCCTCCGCCCGGAAAAGAAAAAAAGAAAAAAAAAAAAAGAAAGGCTTCCACAAGTGTGCCGACTTGCCAACTCTTCTCCCCATCACCTCCCGGCTAAAGGATCCCCCTCACACTTCAGAACGCCCCAAATTCGTTCCGTCTGAGGGACCGGTGCGTTTCAGGCCGTGTCACGAGAGTCTCCCTACCCAAACAGAACTTCTGAGAGTCCAATCTCGTTCCAGCCTTTCGCTTACTGTGATGGGTTGTTCCTTTAAAAAATAATAATAATAATAATAATAATTATTATTATTTTTATTTCCCTCACTAGAGCCAGGACATTGGAGAGGTAGAAGAGGAACTTTTAGGAAGGTAAGAATTGAGAAGGTGAAAAGTCAGACTTTGCTCCCCCACCCAACTATTTTTAAAAGATTAATAATGGAAATGCAAGGAGCCGGGTTTCCATGCATTTCGTAGAACAGGGCATTTTCCTCTTCCTCCCAGGAGAATGGGACCAGTAGCTGCGCAGTCTTTGGGAGGGGGAAACGGGAATTCGGTACCGAGGTATGTGTCGCGCTATTGTCTTTGTGCGGTGAACTTCACCTTGTGTTATTCAACCTCCAAGACCATTCTCTGGGCCTTGGGTCCGATTAATTTCATCATTGTGGCTGCAATGATTAACGCTGTTTACCCGACGCTGCCTTTCAGGTTGGCTATTAAGAAATTAAGCTCTCTCTGGCTGACCAGAGCCAAGCAGGGGTTTCTTCGCGTTGAAATGAAACAGTTTCTCTTCATTTAGTCTACCGGCTCCTTCAGCTTTTGGGCCCCCCCACCCCACCCCCACTCAATTAGCCCAAATGGACACAATTTCCATTCATTGCCATAACTCACCCACTGCTCTTGGAGATCACTTGCAAAATGCACACTTTATTATTATAGGCTGACCTCAGTGGCGAAAAGTGGCGATGCTCGAAAGAGGCCGGGAGATCTATCTAGCCCCCTTGGGCTATAATTATTAGAAATTAATTGGGTTCAGGACCCTGGGTAGCACGGGTAAATTAATAGCTTGTCTGGTGGTTTAAATCCGAATTTTCAGTCCACAGGAGAGAAAGGGGGTGGGGGGAGAGTAACAGACATGAAAGGCAGACCCAAGGGACAACAGAGTTTACTTGCAAGATACTCGTCTATTAAGCAGTGTCCAGAATACATTTGAGGAGGGGAGGGGAGGCGAGGCGGGAGAAGGAGCAGAGGAGAGAGAGGAGGGGGGAACGGGGGCCAGAGAACTGGCCGAGAGGAGGGCTGAGTTTATTTTATCCGATTTTTCTCGCCTGCATTGTTTTCGGGGAAGGGGGGTTGCATTTAGGGGTTAAAATAAAAATAAAGATCCTGTGTACTTGGAGCTGTCGGGCTGGAGTAAAAGTGAAAAGGGAGCCTGAGGCAAAAGGAAATTACTGCAAGCCCGCGTGACCTTTCCGAGAGGTAATCAATCAAGTGATCAACAGGGATATTTATCATTGCTCTATAGGCTACTCCGCTCGTGCACAGAGAAGGGGGTGGGGCGCACTCTCTCTCTCTCTCTCTCTCTCTCTCTCTCTCTCTCTCTCTCTCTCTCTCTCTCTCTCTCTCATACACACACACACACACACACACACACACACACACACACACACACACACTCAAGTTTGGTCATCCCATAAACCTAAAGGCTGATCCAGAAACTTTAATAAATGTTATGATTGTCTGTTTTGTCTGAGATCGAAGAAAGAGGAAAGAGAGGAGGGGGAAGACGAAAGAAAAAAGAAAGAGAAAGAGAGGAGAGGAAAGGAAAGGAAAGGAAAGGAAAGGAAAGGAAAGGAAAGGAAAGGAAAGGAAAGGAAAGGAAAGGAAAGGAAAGGAAAGGAAAGGAAAGGGGAAGGAAAGGAAAGGGGAAGGAAGGGGGAAGGAAGGGAAGGGAAGGGAAGAAAAGGGAAGAGAAAAAGAGGAAAGGGGCAAGAAAAGGAAAGGAAAGAGATTAGCAGGAGTGCCTATTTCCCCGAAGAGATGCCTCCTGCTTTAGCTGTTCAATGTAAGCTGTCCGCTTCTCTTTGCGATGTGAGAAAGGCTCACAATGAAAGATGCGCTTTAAAAATCCGAATCCGAAATGAGCTACAGCATAGATTGTGCCAAGAAGGGGCAAGATGGGGAAGAACGGGGCGACTCTGAACCACATGGTGGGGGAGGGGGGGTCGTCTCTCTGCCTATGTATATTACCCTCTTGGAATGGGGAACCCGGGGGGCGGGGGGAGAACGCCTCCTTCTCTTCTGCAAAATCCTGTAGCAGCTGCCGGAGGGAGTCCTACTCTCTGATGCTTGCTCAGAGCTACCGGAATCCGGGCGAGAGGAGGGAAACGAATCAGCTACAACGCAAACCCATTTTCTGCCTAGTTTCATTCTACCTCGTAAAACATTTCTCTCTTTAAGCCCCAAGCCCTGGATTTTCTTCATGGCGGGGACCGAATTTCGTAGCAAATCGTGATGCCTTCTTTTCAAGCCTACTTACTCCCTTCTTCCTCTCTGCTCTACGTCTACCCCCATGCCCAGACCCCCTCTCCTTATGAATCTAGTATGGTTTAAATGGGGCTCGTGGTGAGGGGTAAGGCAGGCTAGCTCTTAACAACAGCAACAATGTTCCTCTTAAGACCAAGGTAACCCAAGGCCTTCCTTCTGCCTGGTTATTAGTCACCAGCCCATCTTTGGAGACCACTTGGAGCTGATCTCCGAGCGCAGTCCCAGAGACCCCAGATGGCGATGGGTTCGTGGTGCAAAAACACTTCTGGGTGGATTTCTACGGTTTACGTGAGGGTGGCGAGGATCGCCTCCCAGCTAGCTAGACGGCTCTCCTGCGGTGTGTGAACGTGGGACAGGGCCAGGGTGCTCAGGGCTGCGCCAGACGCTGATCCCGCAGGCCTGCCTAGGGTCCCCAGCCTGCCTTCCCCCAGCCCCGCCCGCTCCTAGCTGCCGCCGGCTCTGCTCCAGCTGGGACGGGTTAGTCTGCGCCGCCCCCTGCTGGCCTTGGGGAGCGATTGCAGCGTCAGGCTCTCAGCTGCGATCGGGCTCCAGCTGTGAACAGTAGCAGGGAGTCAGGGGGGAAACAGCTGGAGGGCCCCGGGGGAAACTCGGGCGGCGTCGGTAGGGGCAGGGAAAGGAAAGGAAGGTGGGACAGAAGTAAAACAGTGTTCGGAGCTACAAGATCTGGAGGGGGGGGAGAAAAGGAGGATTCCGCTCTGTAGGGTCTCAAGCTGCTGCCTCCCTCGTCCCAAAAGAATGCAAGAAAAAAGCTAGAGTTTCTCGCTTTGCACCCTCCCTACCGACTGCCTAGGGATTTCTAGACCCGTTGGTCCTTCCTCCTCCTCCCCGTATGACCTTGACCTCCCTTGGGCAGACCAGTTTTTGCCAGAGAACCTGGTCAGTTTGATCGCCTTTTCTCCTGCGATCAAGGCTGGTCCTCTTTTCCCCACCAGTGTAGTGTCAAGGGGGACGAAGCCGAAATGGAAGGACCTGGTTCTAATCCCACCCCTATCACTTACAATCTGCATGAGTCAGAGAAACGAACCTCTCTGAGACTTTCTTCATCTGTAAAATGAGAGGGTTGGGCCACATGGCTTCCAACGCTTCTTTCAATTCTAAATCTGTCATCCAATCTTGAGCCTGTCTTTCCATCCTCAGTCAATCCCAGTTCTGATGGTGCGAAAAGAGGACGGGGTAGGAGTCCTCAGGGGTACCTGGCACCCCTGCCCTGCTCCTTATTACTACTGAGTCCTAGGACAAGTCATTGACCCTTTCTGGTCCCTGGTTTGTTCCCCTGCAAAACTGGAAGGATTGGACTAGCGGATGTCTTAATCCATCCCAATCCTTCACAGTCTGAATCCTCGGATCCCACATCCTTTAATTCTGTGCAATGAGAATCTCAGCACCCTCCTTTTCCAATGGGAGTCAAATGTTCTAAGAACCAGTCCATGGGGCATTACCTTGAGCTTTTGTTCAGTCTGCATTTTCTGCACATTTTAAAGAGATTGGAGAGATTATAAACAGAGTTTACCTTTACTGAGTGTTTTATTGTTTACAGATCACTTTCCTCTGTGAGATAAAAGAAGTATAAGGAAACTGAGGTTCGGAGAGTGGAAGTGACCTGCCCCAGGCCACCCTACTAGTTAAGTGGCAAAACCAGTATTGGAATTCAGGTATTCTACACTTTCAGTATGCATTCAGTAAGCATTTGCTGAGCACCTACTATGTTCTAGGAGAGGTGCCAGGGGATGGAAAAACAAAGGTATAAAAGAAGCAGTCCTTGCACTGTAGGAACTTACATTCTACAATATGCACAGAGATAAGTAAATATGAAAAACACGCAGTAATGGGGGGGGAGTCACCGACAACTAAGGGGATCCAGGATTTTCCTGAAGTGCTGATGCCAAGTCACTGAATTCTAAGGAAGAGGGGAGATATCTTTTTTATCTTCCTGTAAATCTCTTTCCTTCCTGGCACCAGGCTTTCCTATGCTTCGTAGACTATCTTTCTTCTGCCTTAATTATGGGTCTAAACTAAAAATTCACTCTCAAGTATTATGTTGTGGTTTGAATTGAAAGAGGTAAAGTTAGGCTCTTCAAATGACCAGGAACCAATCTTTTGCAAAGTAAGTTATGTAGACCCTTGAGGTCTTTCCTGAGCTCTTCAGTTCCTAATGACTCTCTTCTCAAATTACCTTGTATTAACTTTATATATATTTTGCATCTGTTTACGTGCATATATATATACATATATATATGTATATATATATATATACATATATATATATATATATATATATATATATCCTCCTCTTACACACACACTTAGAAAGTAAACTCCTTGAAGGCAGGCACTGTTTCTTGCTTTTGTGTTTCTATCCCCTGTGCTTTTCTGAGTGCCTGGTACATAGTAGGTATTCAATAAATGCTGTTTCAGACACTAGCTGTGTGACCCTAGGCAAGTCACTAAATTTCTTCCATTGGAGTTGGATTTGATTACTTCTAACATCTCTTCCAGCTTTAACTCTATGACCTTTCCTTATATGATCCTATTAGCCAAGCCAAACCACACTTGGAGGGGGGGGGAAGGTGGTGTTATGTGTCTTTATGTGTCTTTATGTTTTTCCCCTGGTACCAATTCCTTCCTATTGCACCAATCCACATAGATAGATAGATGGATATAGAGTGGTAGATGAATGAAAAGAGATGGACAGATAGAAATGGATGGATAGATAGATAGATAGATAGATAGATAGTAGATAGATAGATAGATAGATAGAAAGCAAAATGCCAACAGAGTTCCAAAATTGTTCATACGTTTGATCCAGGAGTTCCCCTATTGGATTATTCTCTAAAGATGTTATTAAACAGGGTCAGGAGAGAAGAGAGGTAATGGTAAAAAAAAAAACTGGAAATATCCATAGGCTCAGTGACTAAGCATCCAAAAACCTGAACAACTTATTCTCCATAAGATCATAAATAAAAAGATCATACATTGAGAGCCAGAAAGGTTCTCAAAGGTCATTTAGCCTAAACACGCCCCCTATTTAACAGATGAGGAAATTCAAACTAAAGGTTGTTAAGTGATTGGCCCAAGGTCTCAAAAGCAGTAAACAGAAGAAGTGAGATCTGAATAAGGCCCTAATGTTATTTCATCATAGGAAATAACAAATATGAAGAATACAAAGAAATAAGGGAAGAATTCTATGAGCTGAAGGAGAGCAAAGGAAGCACCCCACACACAGAGATTGCAAGGCAACAAGCATTCACCAAGTGCTTCCTAAGTGCCAGGGACTGTGCACCACAACTACATAAAAAAAAAAAAAATCTGGAAAATACACAGAAAGAAAGAGCCCCAAGGGTGACAGGACATTTTTATTATTGAAAATTAATATGCATTTTATTTTTTAACAAGCTGTAAATAATGGAGTTCATGATTTCCCATTTTAAAAAATTCTTTGTATATTCAAATAATGTCTGGTTTTGTTGATATTAAGTTTAGAATAAATGAAAATAATTACATAAATAAATATCAGATTCAGAGGACTAAAACTAGTATCTTTTGTTACTGTTTTCAGTTTTAGTTTCTGTGTATTTTGTTTTGTTTTATTTTGTTTTTTAACTGAAAAAAAATCTTGGGTAGTGACAAAACCAAGTAAGAATTATTACTGTTACTCAGCCTGATTCTTCAGGCTGGCTCTACCCCTCTCAGCACACTAAGGTATCCTCTTTCAATTTTGTTGGGGGTTGAAGAGGTTACTGGCACAATATAAACAGGCAGATTTTTCTCTCTGGATCTTTGACAGTATTACCTGTGACCCATGGATTAAAGAAGCAGGTAGATTACTATCCTAATTGCCATCCAACAACTTTCTATGTGTTCAGAAAAATATACTCACAATTCCTACATTCTAAATTTATGGCATAATTTGGACACAGAAGTGTCAGTACAGTATTTGGTTGGAGAATGCTCTGGAAAAAGGTGTCAACAGGAAGCATAGAATTTCCTGAGTGTCTACATAGCTCATCATAATGAGTGTGTGTATGTATATAAATAAATATGCAGTATATATGAATTATGTGATTACATATGCATATAGGGAAGGGGAGAATAGAACCATGATTTTATCAATGTGAAGGACTCCCTAAAGAGAAAAGAGAATATGCAAGAGGACCCAAGTACCACAGTGTGATTAATTCGCCATGGCAACTCTTGAAGACCATTTGCTAGTACACACAATCCCATAATAGTGACCAGACTGGCAGAAGTGATTGCTCAACCACTATCAGTAATCTCTCTCCCTCTCTCTCTCTCTGTCTCTCTCTCTGTCTGTCTGTCTGTCTGTCTGTCTGTCTCTCTCTCTCTCTCTCTCTCTCTCTCTCTCTCTCTCTCTCTCTCGCTCTCTCTCCAAAAGATATTTATTTCACAGACAAAGCAAAAATAGAGTAGCTCAAAAAATAGAAGCTCCTCTCAATCCCTGCGGTCACACTCTTCTGTACGCCCACCTTAGTCCCTAGAGAAAATAGGCTCAAATTTATCAAAGTTTCTACATGGTATCCACCACACCAGTTTCACTTCCAAATGCATGATGGTGGCATAGTCAACGGATGGATAAATCTGCATTTCTACTACTGCTGAACTAGACCAGCTGGTTACTTTGGACTTCTCTACTTACTGTCTGGTTTCTGACAAATCCCAACATGGACTTCACTCCTAGACTTCTGGTGGCTTGCTTTCTTGACCACTGGAAGCTCACGAGGTCATAACCACTATCAATGTCTTTCACTTGAAACAGGAAAGAATCAGTGCAGAAGCAAAGAAGAGCACATCAGATGAAGAGACCCCAAACCTCTAATCTTACAGCACTGTCTTATTCACTGGAATTCAGGCAAATGGGAAAAAGATGGACCAAGAGCCAGACTCTTAAGTTTTTTCTTCAATTTTTAAAACATTTTTATTTAAAATTTTGAGTTGCAAATTCTATCACTCCCCCCATCTTTTTCCCCTCCTTCAGATGGTAAGCAATCAGATATGAGTTATACATGTGCAATTATGTAAGACATTTCCATATTTATCATTTTGTATAAGACTAGAATAAAAGAAAAAATGAAAGAAAATCAAAAATAGCATGCTTCAGTCTGTATTTAATCAATATCAGTTCTTTTTCTGGAGGCAGAGAGTATGCTTCACCATTAGTCCTTTGGGATTGTCTTGGATCAATGTATTGCTGAGAATAGCTAAGTAATTTATAATTCTTCATCAAACCATATTGCTGTTACTGTGTACAGCATTCTCCTGGTTCTGTTCATTCCACCATGCATCAGTTCATGTAAGTCTTTCCAGGTTTTTCTAAAATCATCTTGCTTGTCATTTCTTATAGCACAATATTCCATTACAATCATGTATCATAGCTTTTTTAGCCATTCCCCAATTGATGAACATCCCTTCCATTTCCAATTCTTAGCCACCACAAAAGGAGCTGCTATAAATATTTTGGTACAAATAAGACCTTTGTTCCCTTTTTTTATGTTTTGGGATATAGACCTAGCAGTGGTATTGCTGGATCAGAGGGTATGCACAGCTTTATAGCCCTTAAGGCATAGTTCTAAATTGCTTTCTAGAACAGTTAGATCCGTTCACAACTCCATCAACAATGCATTAGTGTCCCAGTTTTCCCACATTCCCTTCAACATCCAACGTTATCACACTCTGATAGGTGTGAGGTGGTATCTTAGAGTTGTTTTAATTTGCATTTCTCTAATCAATAGTGATATAGAGTATTTTTTCATATGACTATATATAGCTTTGATTTCTTTATCTAAAAACTGCCTGTTCATACCCTTTGACCATTTATCAATTGGAAAATGACTTGTATTTTTTAAATTTGACTCCATTTTCTATACCGTTGAGAAATGAGGTCTTTATCAGAGATACTTATTGCAAAAATTTTTTGTTTTCGGCTTTCCTTATACTTTTGGTTGCATTGGTTTTGTTTCTGCAAAAAAAAAAACCTTTTTAATTTTATATAATCAAAATTATCTATTTTACATTCTGTAATGCTCTCTATATCTTCTTTGGTCCTAAATTCTTTCCTTATCCATAAATCTGATATTAGCTATTCCATGCTCTCTTAATTTGCTTATGGTGTTACCCTTTATGTGTAAATCATGTACCCATTTTGACCTTATCCTGGTATATGGTGTGACATGTTGGTTTGTATCTAGTTTCTGCCATGCTGTTTTCCAGTTTTCCCAGAAGGTTTTGTCAAATAATGAGTTTTTGTTCCAAAAGCTTGGATCTTTGGGTTTATCATATACTAGATTATTGTGGTCATTTACTATCATGTAATTTGTACCAAATTTATTCCACTGATCCACCATTCTTTTCTTAGCCAATACCAGATTGGTTTGATGGTTACCACTTTATAATACAGTTTGAGATCTGGAATGGCTAGACCACCTTCTCTCACATTTTTTTTATTCTCTTAATATCCTTGAGATTTTGTTCTTTCAGATGAATTTTGTTATTATGTTTTCTAGCTCTATAAAATAATTTGTTGATAGTTTGATTAGTATGGCACTGAATAAATAGATTATTTAGGTAGAATTGTCATTTTTATTATATTAAGCCAGCCCTTTTCAATGATCTTTCAAAGCTCATGTCAAAT